GTGACCTTAAAGTTTGATTTCAAGAAAATTATAATGACAAATACTAATTTTTTGAATTTAAATTTAGGTCAATAATGCAAAATTTTGGAGAGACTAATTGACAAATAGTATGAAAAAAGTTCTTTAAAGTTAATTTATTATTTTGAATTATTTAGTATAAATCCTATGCCCTATTATAAATATGTTCTTAAGAATTTGAGAATGGTGAAAGCCAAATTTAAATCCATTGTGAAACCCTATTTTTCTATCATATTTTCATAGACATGATTGTTTTATTGATGCCTAACATAGTGTTAAGTTGCATGGTTTTTTTATTTGTGTCTACTCACATTTGTATAAAACCCACTTTTAATCTTCATACTTTTATTTTGATTCTTGTTGTTTATTGCATGGTTGCATTTGGTATTTTGGTTGAGAACATGGAAGAAGTTACCCTTGAAATGGAAAAAGGGAGGTTGAGAGGGCGTCTTTATGAGGAAAAAATATTACATCAGGATTCCAGATGCAGCTTTGTATCCTGACTCAAATTAATTTATGCCACCTGTACAGTCCCAGGTCCAATGAAAAAAATAAGTAAAAGCGTTGATTTTATGGTTGTATTGTGGTGAATTTTTACTTGTATTGTGGTGGTTTTATGCTTGTATTGTGGTGATTTTGTGGTTGTATTGTGGATAATTTGTGGTTGCATTGAAGCAGTTTTGTGGTTGTATTGTGGTGATTTTGTGGTGGTATGTGTTGACTTTGTGGTGGTATTGTGGTGAATTTGTGATTGTATTTTGGTGATTTTGTGGTTGTATTGTGGTGATTTTGTGGTTGTATTGTGGTGAATTTGTCGTTGTATTATCATGGTTTTAATTAAAGAACAAAATTACCACAATAAAACCATAAAACCACCACATCACAACTAAAAAATGAATTTTTTTACTTATTTTTTTAGTGGGTCTAGGACTGTACAAGTGGCGTAAATTAATTTGAGTCTAGATGCAGAGCTGTGTCCGGACTCCTGATATAATAATTTCTCCTTTATATGTGGGAGGTGGCCCTGAGAAAAAATGCATATGTACAAAGGCTTCACCACCTATGAAAGAATAATAATATTTTTATACATGTTGTGGAATAATTCTATATTTGGTTAATACCTAGGCATGAAAAATAGACTCTAAATGAACCACAAAAAATTATTTTTGTTTTTAAGGGCTTTTAACTTTTCATAATATGCATTCATAGTTGTTTTCAATCCTATGAATTTTGTATTTATGTTGCTTGTTCTAGGCTTTTATATTTTATCATATAAAAAAGAAGGGATGGAAGATAGGGGTCTTGTATTCTGGAACTTTCTTTTTAGATATCACATAAGTTCTTATAACCCAAGTTACCTTCCATCACATGCTCATGTAAATTCTCAAAGTTTCCCTAGATAAAATTATACTTGGGAAGTTAATCCATAAGTGACTAAACCCATTCTCATAAAAAAAATCTCAAGTCTATGGGCTAGAGTAAATAACTTAGTAAAATTTAAAGATATTAATATTTCAGATTAAACTCAATACACTTATATATCTTAACATCTCTCTCTCTCTCTCTCTCTCTCTCTCTCTCCATTATATATGAGAGACTCCATATTTGTTATCTCTTGCTCTCAAATCATAAACTCATTAATAATTTACACTAGGAACATACTGATGAATATAGAGACATGCATCATGGGAGTCATTTCTTTCAAAATTTATTTAATAATGGAGGAAAAGAAAAAAATATACATAAGTTCCACAAAATTATTTTGATTCCAACTTAACCATTAGCTTTAATATCGCTTGTTGGAAAGGATGAATTTATGAGAGAAAAAAATTTAGGCTTGATGTACTAGTAGTTAAACCTACTTTTAACTAAAAAACTTAATCAACTTGATGGCTAATTAGATATAAATTTTGATGCCAATATATTTTTTAATTAAAAATCATAGGACTATAACAAATACTCTCATGTGCCATAATTAGTATGATATTTAAAAACTTAAATTTAATTTGAAAAAATAAGGAAATACTATAAATTAATTTAAATTTTTTTTTTTAAATTATCAATATTATTTATTATTTTTGGTGAAAATCATATCATAACTATGAAAACAGGAGAAAAATATTATAATCCCTTATTTACATTGTCTTTAATAATATAGTGGAAACTCCATTACCATGTGTGAATATAGATTTTAAAAAACAATTAAACTTTAATAATTTATTTTTATGATACATAGTCTATTATGTAGTGATTGGATAATTTATTTTACTTGCTTATGGGCTGATACTTCTAAGTTAGTATTTTTTAAAAAAAATTTCAAAGCAAAAATATATAAGGAATTCAATAATGTAAAATTTAAGAGTCAAATGTTGGATGACTAATATTAATTTAGGATGTGGACTATGGTCTGTGTTTTTCTGTTCCAACAAAGCCTTAGGAAGGCACTCATGACATGTTCTAAGTATTTAAGATCACAAGTAAAGAAAATAAGTCAATGATGGACAAATATTCTCTCGATCATAAATCTTTTTTATGGTTGATGAGTTTTTAATAAAAATTTAAGAATAAATAGTTCTAAGAGTTTATAGATCAAGTTAGAATTATTATTAATAACTAAATATCTCTCTGATAAACATAATTATAATTAAAATTATAATTAATTATTTCAGAAGAATGTATGTTGTTTAAATCACATTTACATAATTTCGAATCTATCACTATAGATGCAAGGAATATCAATGTGACTATTTCTAGTGAAAAAAATATCATTATTATGTTCATTACTATATTTTATAAATATTTTCTTAGAATTATATTACATAAAAATGTATTAATAGCTCAGAGGATATTAATTGTTCACCTGAGAACATAATATTTATAGTTAAGGGTGCATGAGATATGAAGTTAATTAATGGATTAACTTTTAAGAAAGGCTCGACATCTAACGATAATAAGATATTTTTAAAATAAAATATCATTCTTTATAGAGGAATAAATAGTAAACATATGACAATTACTGGGACAAAAAGTCAATAAATATTCTTATTATTGTTTGCTCGCCTACTTTTAATAATAAATGCAATGAAAAATGGATTCTAGATTCAAATAGCTCATATTAAATGTTTTTTATTAAATATATCTCATTGATTATATTATATGTGTGGTCTACATCTATATAAAAATAAAGAAACATGCAAAATTGCTAATTTTGTTATATGGTGGTTGAGAATGCATTATGACATAATCAGGACATTTGCTAAACTTAATTACATACTCAGTTTAGGAAGAATTTACTATCTTTGAGTATACTTAGTGAACCATATTATTTTGGCTGTCTCAAAGGAAAATACATTAGATGAATATTATATATTTTAGGGAACAACTTTTACTACTACTTATTTTTTTCACTTACTATAAGTCCACTATATATATCATACATAAAAATAAATGTTAACCTAGTAGTCATAAGAGAGGTTTCAGAGGAAAATTAAGGCACATTGAAATAAAAATCTTTAAAGATGATTTGATTAATATTTTTTTATTGGATAATCTTTTCCATTATAAGTTGTATCAATATGATTCATTATAGAGTATAACAGTTTTATGGTAGTTGCATAGTTAAATTTATTGGCACAATTTTATTTTGGAATATATGTTATAGAGTTTTTTTAAAGATATTTAATTTTAATGGAATATTGTTCTGATGAGATTTGTGATGCGCATCCTTCTATGATTTTGAGAGTTTTTAAGACACTTGAAGGTTTCACATAACATTAATTATAGCAATACATTAATAGTATAAGGCCTAATTAAGAGATTTTTAAGTCCTATCAAGACGTTAGTATCTAAATGAAGATGATACTAATAAATTGTTAGGGTACATGAAAAGAGACAATATTGAAAATATATTATAATACCTTAAACAAATTGAAGATTCAAAAATAGTGTCTATGAAAGAGAAATATTTAGATATTATTTTTTATTATTTTTTAAAATATAATTTTAAATTGATGCTGATTCACAAATACTATTAAATAATTAAAAAAAAAACAAAATTGCACAAAAAAATGGGAAATTTGTTGATGTAAAAATTCTCTTCTATATAATAAAGAACGGATATTGGATTTTATATGTTTGTAATTCCCACACACTTGCGATTGACCATTTAGAACATAATTAGTTAAGATGTGGCTGGTTTTAGGATGTTACAATACCATTTATTGCTGCAGTAGCATTACTCTCTGACACTAGGAACTATGCCTGAAAAAATGATGTTTTTGTTAACATGTAAAGGTGGATGGGAAATGCAGCTAGCTTACAAAAGTATCATTTTGATAATCTAACTTAGGTTGGGTATACCTTATACTATAGTTTGTTTTCAGAGCCATTGAATGGATTTCCTAACTACTTACATATACGACACCCTTTCATTTCCTGATTTTATACATAATATATCAAGATCTAACATAAGTTCAAGCATTTTATAGCTTGTGGTGGAGCCCATAGCACTAGATGTGGGTCTTTATCTCATATATTATCAAAAAAAAAACTACATTTAGTTACCTATATTAAGAAAGCTTTATCCTTAAGTTCTCTTTCAATTAAATATATTATAGAATTGCTCCCCTTAAATTCTTGGCAAAGCCAACTTTTATCTAGTCTCAATTAAATCCTAATTCCACCATTTATTCATAACTAACAATAAGTCTTATAGAAATAAAACTAGTAGCTGAATTGGTAACTAGAATATCTATCTAAAGTAATCAGCTCCAAACCCAAGGCTTAGGTGGCCATAGATGTACCTTTCCGAAACTTACAACTTACCTAATAGAAGTGTTGCTAACAAAGCTAAGAATCCTACCTAAAACTACCAAGTGTTCCTTTTATGAGCCCAAAAAATCAACATTTTGAAGCTATAATAAATAAATAAACTTAAACTTGACTTAAGAAAGAGAAATAAAGGATTTGCGTATTTCCCATACCTCTGATTCATCCTGTAACCCGAGCTTGTTAGCTAAGTATCTCATTAACAATCTTATTGTCATCCTCCCATCCCTACAAATTAGAAAAAAGCCAGCATTTTCTCTTAAGAAAACTATGCATAATCATATAATAATAAGAATAATAATAATAACATACTTAAGCATAAACCTACTTGATTCTCAAGTAGCTCTTAGGCAGCTGAGGCAAGAATGGTGCATTCACTCTGCATTGAGTCAAATAACAAAATCTTAAGCAAACCAAGCAGTCCCCATTAAATTCATAAAAGAATTTACTTTCACTTACTACAAAACAACAAAATCCACGATTATAAAATGTTATTCAATATCATCATCCAAACTCACTGGTTTTCAGCCGGCCGGAGTGCTATCCAAATACCGGTACGTACCCGTTGCGGCGGGCTAACTACCCTCAAATCATCCCCTGCGGCCGGCGCCAACACCGAGCTCGTGCTAGCCATCATCGAAGCTTGCGGCGGCCTCTCCGGGAACAGCCGGAGCTCCGTCGAAGACGCAGATGCACTTGCCCCGGGACCAAGCTGAAGCCAGCCTGCTTCATATGTTTGAGCACGTTCTTCTTCTCTTGGGCCTTCTTGTTCTTTCTCCTTTTCGGCAGGTTTCTTGGAGGAGCCATTACCTGCTCCCTCTTCAGCCATTAAAAGAGGTTTCAACGGAGAATGGAAAATGAAGTGGGAGTCGGCAAAGCGGCCGACACCATAGTTGTCGCAGCGCCAGAGGAGGTGGTTGCGGGCGGGGGTCATGGTGTCATCGTTGATGTGGGAAAAGTGGTCAGTTGAAAGTAGTGGTAGGAGGCCATGGAGGTGTAAAAGAGAAGAAAATTGCAATCTTTTGCATATTTGCTTCTTCGATCTCTTTCTTGTCGGCAAGGTGGTGATGATAGACGAGGAAGACGTCTTTTGTTTCTGGATCTCACTTTCTCTTAATTCTTGTGCGTTCAATGCTTGAAGGGAAGAAGAGGAGAAATAGTTGGAAGAGAGAGAGATTGATATGGTGGGAGGTCAGTTATTTATACATTGTCATTGTTATATATATATATATATATATATA